TTGACAGCGGCCACCCATCCGGCCGTGTGACAGCGGCCACCCATCCGGTCGTTTGACAGTGGCCACCAATCCGTCCAGTTCACAGCGGCCACCCATCCATCCATTTGACAGCGGCCACCCATCCGTCCATTTGACAGCGGCCACCCATCCGTCCGTTTGCTATAATCCCCGCCACACGCACAACTCCACAACTGAAAGAAAGACGTTTACAGATTCAAATCCTGGCCCCACTGCTTATCGTGGAAATGGCTATGTTCCGCTCGTGCAAGTTTAGAGGGTATTAGCGATCACCGTTATGATACAGGAAATATGAATTAATGACCCAAATGGTGTTTGTTTCATGCGACTTGCTCCTGTGGTTACTGGTTCAGCATTTACAGCAAGAAAGAGACAAGACCAAGACTTGAACAAACTCGTTGTGTGGAATCGTTGAAACCAAACCTTGAACTGTCCCGAAGGGCGTGGCGTCTACTGAGACTCCTCACACTGTCTGACCGGCTGTGTTAGCACGAGCATGCGCACTCCGTGATAATAGGATAGTACACGCGGATCCACTGGCACGTCGTGTGGTCATTGAAGTCGGCGCAGTGCCACCGCAGCAGGGCAATGTTGCTGGACATGCTGGGCGCGCACATCATGCCCTCCGGGAGGGAGCACGACCTCTTGTTCACACAGCTGCCTTCCTTGATCCACTGGGGCCAGAAGCGGATGCCGAGATACTTCCACGAGTACATCACGGGGCAGTACGTCAAGTTCCAGAGGTACTTTTGAAATTTTCGCCGCTCTTTCTTCGTGGTGGGCAGCTCCACCCTGGTGCCGTCTTGGAGGACGGCCGAACGCAGAAGACTTAGAAAACCCGGCCGTTTGCCCTGGGGGCGTCCATTGTGGAGCGGAATCAGGGGCGGCGCGGGGGTCGATCGTTTGTTGGGGTCCTGCACCGACATGAAATCCCGTTTGAACTTTGACCCCAGCTGCTTGCGCAGAGACCGCGTGTTGATGTCGCTGGGCCGTGGGTCGTAGATGGCGCTCTCGTTCTCGACAAGGTCTTCGATGGGCAGGTGGTCAGACGGAGACGGGCGCCGTGCCATGCCGTGCTTGGTCTGCGGACCGTCCGTCTGTAGTAACCGGAAGAGCGGCTCTGAGAAGTCCGTGTTGGCTGATGCGTAGAAGACGAAAAACAGCAGTAGGGTCGACTGTGGGGTCATGGTCACAAACAATCTGGGGAAAATGGTAGAAAAAAAGATCAGGAAAAAATCAAATCAAAACACACTGTCACTAGCACCGCTACCAGACGGCGCTGACTTCGTTAAAGGAAATTCCCGATAATTGCGCTGAATGAGATTATTTTTTAAAAAATACCACAAGTGCGTTTGGTGCGTAATATTTTCTTGGGTTTTACGGAAATAGTTGGTGTAATAAATCTGCGGTGTAAAGGGGGATGGGGCACTAGAATATTGATTATAGTTCAGTGGTGGCGGCGTACCGGTGTGGGGTAGCGTACCGGTGTGGGGTAGCGTACCGGTGTGGGGTGTGTTGTTGTTCGTCCGTCGAAGTCGACAAGGACCATCGAATCATCCGGTTAGGGGCGGGCGGGGGGGGGGGGGGT